GGGACACCAAGGGACACCCAGGTGATGGGGACATCCAGGGACACCTGGGTGATGGGGACACCCAGGTGATGGGGACATCCAGGGAGACAGGGAGGACACCCAGGGACACCCAGCTGATGGGGACACCCGGGCACTGGGGACATCCCAGGGACACCCAGGCAATGGGGACATCCAGGGACACCTGGGGGATGGGGACACCCTGGGACACCCGGGTGATGGGGACATCCAGGGACACCCGGGTGATGGGGACATCCAGGGACACCCGGGGGATGGGGACACCCAGGGACATCCAGGGACACCCGGGCAAGGGGGACACCCAGGGACACCCAGATGATTGGGACACCCGGGCACTGGGGACATCCCAGGACACCCAGGTGATGGGGACATCCTGGGGACATCCAGGGACACCCTGGCAATGGGGACACCCTGGGACACCTGGGAATGGGAAGATCCTGGGGACTTTCGGGCAATGGGGACACCAAGGGACACCCGGGTGATGGGGACACCCAGGCAAGGGGGACATCTTGGGACATTCGGGCAATGGGGACACCCTGGGACACCCGGGCGAGGGGAACACCCAGGGACACCCAGATGATTGGGACGCCAAGGGACACCCGGGCGAGGGGGACACCGAGGGACACCCAGGTGATTGGGACACCCCAAGACACTTGGGCGATGGGGACACCCAGGCAGTGGGGACATCCCAGGACACCTGGGGGATGGGGACACCCAGGGACACTTGGGGACCAGGGTCATCCAGGGACACTTGGGGACACCCCGGGGTGACCGGGGACATCTGGGGAGCAGGGACATTTGGGGACCGAGGACATCCAGGGACACTTGGAGACACCCCAGGGTGACGGAGGACATCTGGGGACCAGGGACACTTAGGGACCGAGGACATCTGGGGACACTTGGGGACAGGGATGCCCAGGGACTTTTGGGGATTGAGGCCATCCAGGGACACTTGGGGACACCCCGGGGTGCCTGAGGACATCTGGGGACACTTGCGGACACCCCGGGGTGACCAAGGGCATCTGGGGACACTTGGGGACATCCCGGGGTGCCCAGGGACATCTGGGGACCAGGGACATTTGGGGACTGAGGACATCCGGGGACACTTGGGGACCCCCTGGGGTGACCAAGGACATCTGGGGAGCAGGGACATTTGGGGACCGAGGACATCCAGGGACGCCCTAGGGTGACCAAGGACATCTGGGGAGCAGGGACACTTGGGGACCAGGGTCATCCGGGGACACTTGGGGACACCCCGGGGTGACCGGGGACATCTGGGGAGCAGGGACACTTGGGGACCGAGGACATCCAGGAACACTTGGGGACACCCCAGGGTGCCCGAGGACATCTGGGGACACTTGGGGACACCCCGGGGTGACCGGGGACATCTGGGGACACTTGGGGACCGAGGACATCCAGGGATGCCCATGGAGCAGGGACACCCGGTGACGACGGCCTGGGGGACATCCTCGGGAGCAGGGACAATGGGGGACGCTGGGGCTGGGGGATGGCAGGGGGACACCCAGGGGTGCTTGGCGACATTTGGGGACATTTGGGGACATTTGGGGACAACTCCAGAGCCATCTCTAGGGCTGGGGAGGTTGGGGGTGGCCACCACGTCCCCAGGAGATGGAGGCCAAGGTGGCATCAGGGATGGGACGGCAGTGCCAG